CTTGACTGAGATTTTCAAAGCCAAACACCTCCTGTCAAAACAAAATGACATCCTCCTTCCTGGCATGTCTCATTCTAGCCTGAGATTTACTATACGCTGCTTTCCTCTTCTTCAGCCACAAGTACAGGATCAATTCCAAACCAACCTGGTCATAAAGCAAGATAAGCAGCCTCAACAAAAGGTATTTACATCCAGTCAATTGCTAAGAAATTTCTTCATCAAGTGGAAATAGAGTGTGGAATTAGAGGAGTGAGCCCCAAAGGAGGAGCTAATGCCAGAAATGGACACTCTGAGCCAAATATTTTCCATATTAATCAGCAAATCTGTAATTAATTGTGTTACAGAAAGACAAAAAGGCAAATAATCAACAATTGCAGAAGAAAATTAATAAATATGGCCATCAACAGCACTGGGTACAATGCATTTTAATATTATTCAAGGGAAAGATTATGGGGAATAACATAAGAATTACTAGGCAAAAGAAGACCAAGGTCCATCCAGTACACCTTCCACCATCCTGGTAGTGGCAAGACATGTTATGTCCCAAATTATACAAGAATAATACTTTGCATTCGAAGAGCTAAACTAATCCAGTAATGTACATTTCTAGAGACCAGACCAGAACATGACAAGACAATGATAATCTCTGCAATTGATCTCGCGCCTTAGCATGTCATCGAGAGTCCCAAAGCACTTCATAGGATATATTGTGTCTGTATTTTGTAGACAAACTCAACAATTAATTTGCACGTAGCACTGACCAATTAATTATAAACAGTGATTAATCTATTTAAATGGCGGATTGTTGGCTATAAATCCGGAGAAACTCCTATTTTTTTCAAATAGCACCATTGGAATCTTTGATTTGAACAGGCAGATAGGACCTTGGTTTTTAACGTCTCATTGGAAGGACAGCATCTTCAATACACAGTGTACAACTAACAAACAACAAAGTACATTTATATATCGGCTTTCACGTCGGGAGGAAATCCCAAGGCATTGGGACGTGTACCCGCAGAACTACAATGGAGTGTCAAATAAAGCACATAACAGTGCAATAAACACTAACAGAAGTACTGAACTATAAAGATTCTTTTAAATACTGTATCAAGGAAAAACTGAACTTTAATTCCACATCCCGCATATGTCGTAATGTGATCTTAAGAAGCTCTAAAGGGTTAATATAGATGCCATAAAACAGTCATTTATAGACTGAGAAGACAACTGCAGGGGTCTAAGAACCATTTCATTTAGAACAGCAGTCTAAAATATTTCAGATACAAGGAGAGTAATGGACTCCTGTGAGCGATTATAAAGTAGTAATCTAATCAAGCTATTCAGATAAAATCAAAAACTTTCAATGTGAAGTTGCAACAAACACCTGAACCAAGAGGTTAGATTGAAGTTTTCAAATACTACATAATCTCTACTGATCATGACATATTCTGCTTTCATTTCACACAACATTTTAATGCTGACAGTGTATTCCATATACAGTACTTGAAACAAAATCACATATCCACAAACATGAGATCAATACTGTGGCTTTATCAAGAAATCACCTTCAGTCAAATGATGGGAAATTGTATATATGTAGTATAAAGTATGGGCTGAAATTTGCAGAGTTTCATAACCAGTTTGCAATATTATCACATGAACACATTATGAAACACTTCTAACCGGTTCCCGCTCCTTAATTATCTCAAGGCTCAGTACTTGTCGTAGCACCCACAGTGCCCCCCCTCCCCCCCCCACACACACACACACCAACTTACCTGTATAACAATCAATGTTTTACCATCAGTTTTACTATCGGGAACATCTTTGAAACTTCTGGTGCCATGGCACCAGGCAGAATTTGACATGCCAAAGGCAGTATTTGAGTGCTGCTTCACAAGATACTGCCTGAAGTCAGACAGTATCCTCTTTTAGCTGCACTCAAATGTCAATCCTTTCCCGTTACTTATGTTCCTTTAGCTACACAGCCCAAGATTCTCCCACTGATGCTACTGTGTACTGTACTAATGTTTTCACAGATCTACCCACTCGTACCCACAAACCGCTCTCCTGGTATGTTGCAGCTTTTAGTCTAATACTGTTTAGACCCTCCATTTATTCTCCTTCCAAATATCATTGGTCACTCACTCCATGGCTATTTGTAAGACATTCCTGTGCACAATTGGCTCCCACATTCACCCACAAAATACAGTCAATTCCTGTTACAGTATATCCTGTGAAACGCTTTGAGACATGTAGAATATATATCAAGTGCAAGGATTATTATCATCATCATCAATCTGCATTTGTCAATATTAAATTACATTACACTTATACGCCAACTCTCAAATCTATCAAATCCTTCTGCATTTGGTCAACCAATTCTCTGGGTAATTTGCTAAATTTAGTATCATTAGCAAACTTAGTTTGATTCTGTAGACATTTCCAATTTTTTGTATGCAGTTTAAATAGTATTGGCCCTAACACAGATCTCTGAGGCCCCCTGCTAGTTACTTCCTTCCTTGTTGAAGCAGCTCTATGTACAATCACTCATTGCTCTCTATGAAATAGCCACTTATAAAGCTATTGCTGCATATTCCACCTCTCAACCTTATGGACCATTTCCAATGTAGCACTAAATCAATAGCTTTGCTAAAATCTAAATATGTAACATGCACTGAATTTCCACTTGTTCATACACAAAAAATCAAAACAGACTTGTCTTACATAATCTTACTATCAAGCCAACTTGAATCCCTCTTATAATTCAATATTTCTTCTAGTAAATACTTAGAAGGCTTCAGCCTAGCTCAGTTGGTGGTGCTCTCAACTTGGATTCAGAAGAATGTGGGTTAAAACCCTACGTCAGGACACTGAGCTCAGTTTGAAACTACTGGAGCAATGGAAGAATCTCTGCTGCATTATCGAAAGTCTCGCCCTTAAATAAGATGTTAAACCAAGATCCCGTCTATGCCTGTTCAGATGGACTTTAAAATCCCACTGCACTATTCGAGAATATAAGGGATTTGCTCCCTGTATCCTGACTAACAATCTCCCAGTTAAATAAAATGCTACACTTAGTGTGGTGTAAGCTTAAATGTAAGTGTAATAATTACACGTACATTTTGCATAGATAATGCCCCACAAACAGTAATTTATGGTTGTTTGTGGGGTATCACTTACGCAAAATGGTTGCCATGTTGCCCCACGTAGCCAAACTTTATAGAAAACTCTGTGAAACACTTTGAGATGTTTTGACATGATCAAGCACCATGCAAATGATTATTATTATTATAGACATAAACAACATAAAACTCTCAACTTCAATTCATATACAAGTTCCGAGAAAGAAATACTGATCGGTTTAAAAAACAATAGCACCACTCTGTGGTGCAATAAAGGCAAGACTTAATGTCAATGCTACCAAGTTCCTTCAGACTCATAATTTGCCATTTAAAAACGTTTTTTATTTCAAGGATATGTTTAGCAAAATGTTGGTGTAGTGAAAGTTAATGTGGTCAGGTAAAAATACTTGGATAACTAACAGTCTTCAAAAAACAGAAAGTTTATTCTGAGGTCCCATTTGCCTGTTCAGGTGAATGTTGTGGATCTCATGGCACTATTTTGAAAAGAGAAGGAAGTTTCCTGATTGACCAACAATCAAGAAACTAATTAAAATGTGTCATTCACTTAATGGCTGTGTGTAGGACATTGCTATGCACAAATAGGCTGCCACTTTTGCCTATAAATTGGGATGCCACCTATCATGATTCATAAATCAGGAGTGTTCGGTTCACTTAATAATAATGCTTTATTAATGTAAATACGTTTGGTGTGCAGTAACTTCCCTCATTTCAATATTTGTTTATTTTAATTTTTGTGATCTGTAATGATTTGTATTCTCATCCTTAACAATCCTGCTATTACTTTTTAAATGTTTCTAGGAATCAAGTAAGTTACTCCCATGTCTATAATTAAAAAAACTTTGATCAATAACTAATCTTTACGGTAACAGTGAAAATTATACATATGGGGATGAAAAACTTTTTCCAGTAAATTCCTCTATACACAAGCAGAGCAAAATGGAGTAACATATTCGCTGCTTCACTGGAGGACTTGGTAACTTTCAAGCACCTGGCACTCAAATCCATAATATTACACAGGAATGTCTTCAATACCGCTTGATTGTTCAAAGAGTGGAACAGATACAAAGGAACTCAATTATAATATAGGCTTGCTGAGCACCCACAGTATCTGGAAGTAAAGGTATTCATGGCGTCCAGTAAGCGGGATCTCCTTGAAGCTGAACTGGCACCAAGGTGACATGCTTGGCAATGGAATATCGGAATTGAGCCAGCCCTCTGTGGGGGTCTCAGTAGTCCAGTTCCTGAGCCAGGCGGTTCTGCAGTACTCCAGGGTACTGCTGATGGCAGCCTAGCTTGGCTTATCGGCAGGACCTGGAAAGGCAGATCAGTCACTGTGTGCAGGGACTCATCCTACTTAGCTCCTGTTAACCCTGCAAGCCAAAGCCCTAACGGGTAGAGTAATCCTTGATGAACATCAATGTCAATGGAAAGCTATGCGTTTTTAGCTTGTTAGACTCCACCAGTTTCCCCAACAAACCCTCTAGGGTTTCCAGCCTTGGCTCTTGCCAACCTGCATCTAATACTTTCTGGAATTAGGTAAGCAGGACACGTTCCTCCAGGGAGAATGCATTCTATTCCAACAATCTATCTCTGGGATTTTCAAGTGTAGGTAGGATGCATGAAAATGACAACTTGGTTTGGAGACTCATAGCGATGGGATTCCGCATGTGTCAGACACCCGGCTGGCCAAAAAAAAAAGGCACCCGACACGGACAAGTCAGTTTCCTGTGCTATAAAACAGCGATTAGGTTACCATTGACATCACTTCCTTTGCATTGTGTAAAGGCGTTCTACACTAAGGAAGACTCCGAATATGAAACTGTCTTACACATTAATTGACGTGCCGTCTTTATATACCTGGTCAACTTGAAAAGATTTAACAGAAGGCGGTCCCCAATCTCGGCTCAGCTTTCTTTGGTATTCAAGACACCTCAAGATGATACTACATGCTACATTGCCCAACTCTGGATAGATTATTTCAAGATCACCACTGAAAAGAAAAGTATATTTTGCATTAATATGGTTATAAAGAAGGTAGAATTTCTAAATAAATCTGTAAGTTTTAATTTAATGAAGTGGAACAAGAGAATTTTTAAAAAAACTGATTGTAAACAGATTCCAGTGGCGTTTTGCTTATTGATCAATTAATAAAAAGGAGAATTTATATCGCATTAGGCATACAGTAAAAGACAGGCCCATTGCAGAACAAGCTTGCACTTGATTTATATTAATCGTTGCGTTTGATATCGTACCTTATCACTGAGAAAATAAACTCAGAGCAATAAATACTTTTGGATGCACTAAAACAGTGAAATAGGAGGACATAGGTTTAGGGTCACAATATACAAACATGTAAAAATGTGAAAAATTGCAATTTCAGGGACATCAGGAAGGCTTTCTTTATCCAGAGGGTAATTCAGACGAACAGATCGAGAGCAGGATTACTATTGTAACATCAGTAGAATAAAACTAACCCGTTTCACAACAGTCTAAGAACAGCTCATGATCCTTATTATTGTGAACTATTCAACCCTTGGTGACTTACACTTTACAATAATAGGAAGAGCTGACATTAAAGGATCAAAGGAAGGGTGTTGAGGCAAGGACATTGGACTCATTTAAAAAAAAGCTTGATGCTGCAATGCAAGGGTGTGCTTGAGGGATGAGATCAGACAGACTGACCAAAGGGTCTTGCAATGCAAGGGTATGCTTGAGGGATGAGATCAGACAGACCGAAGGGTCTTCTTCATTAAAGTAATCCTGTGATTTGTGAAGGGCCAGGCTGTCATCAGCAGTGCCTTGGAGTAACTGTAAAATCACCTGTACAAAGGGCATCTAGGACACCCAGTGGTACAAAATAGCTACTGCAGAAATTCTGCCACAAATTCATATTTGTTGCCTATTGAAAGCATATATACCAAATCTTTTTGCCACAATGCCTTTCATTCAAACTCTGATTACAGATGAGTTCCACATCTGTTCCCCAGACACTGTGCAAGAGCCGTACTGAGGCAAATTGTACATCACCTGCCCTCAAAAGAACAGAAATCCAAAGCACGAGTTAAGATAACAAGCATTTGTTTATTGATGACTTTACACTTTTTTACACTTTTTTACACTTGAGGAAAATTAGGAAAGGATAGCCCATGGCTGACCGGCGGGTTAGGGTTTCGGCTTCCAGGATAAACAGACTACCACTCAAGATACTCTACTTTTAGTTCGAAACTCTGTCTGTCCAGGGCCTTGGGATGTCCTCCCAACATGAAAGGCGCTATACAAATGTAATTTTGTTGTTCTTGCTAACAGTCACTTTCTGTTCCTTTAACTGTGTTTGTAGAAATGTCAAAAATAAATTCATTCTTCGGGCTGTCAAAGGACATGAATAAAAAAAAAAGAAACTAAAGAAGGATACCAAAGCCAAAAAAATTATGAAGTGGACTTTAAAGAGGTTGAATTGGAATATACCAAAACTTAATTTAATAATCCATAATAATCCTTGAATTTGATACACCTTATTACGTTATTGAGAAGTATTGTTAAGTGAATTGACTGGGTATTTTGCTGTACAGTGGATCTCGACTTTAAAACAAAAATCTTTCTATTGTGAAAACTTTATCTGAGAAACACGATAATCCATATCTAATCCATATCATCATTAAAGAACAGGGCGATAAAAGCAAGTACATTTCAACAATAAATTCTAAATATAGCACAATGCAGTTTTTAAAAATCAAAATGACTCTAGCTTTGACTATATTACTTGCCTGCAAATATTGCTGTCTTGGCCAGTGATGTTCTGAACAATACAGATGGAGTCCTCAACATCTGTTTTCTGATAGGCAAGGCAGCCCAATCCAGCCAAAAATAGAAATGAGAGCCAATTCATTCCAGACAGCAGGAAAGATGAAGCATCAGATCCACCCTGTAAGTATTCCTTGGAATATTATGTCCAAATATATTCACCAATTTCATAATAGAATACAAAAATGTTGGCCTTATGCTTCCTAGGTTTTGCTGGGAGATGAGATAGTAGAGTGAGGATAGGGGGCAAAGAATGTGGACAAAGAGGAAGGATGAGAGAGGTTAGCATGAGGATCTTAAACTCGATCTACTGGGATATGGGGAGCGTGTCAAGTGCTTAGCAAATGTGTATTTTGTGGCTGGACATGGAGACAATTTGTGCACAGCAATGTCCCACAAACAACTTTGAAGTGAATAACCAATTTTATCTGGAGGTGGTTGGCCAGGACACTGGAAGAAACCTTCTTCTCTTTCAAATAGTGTCACAATTATCTTTAATATCCAACTGAACATGCAGACTGGATTTTTGTTTAATGTCTCATCCAAAGGACGGCATCTCTGACAGTGCAATGTTCTTCGGGGCTATATTGAAGTGTCAGCCTAGACTATGAGCTTAAATTTCTAAAGCAACAATCTTCTGACTCAAAAGTGTGATTATTACCAACTGAGCCAGTGTATTAGAATACTTCTAATACACATAACTAATTTCACTGAGTTATTCAACAAAATCTAATGTTTAGAGAAACGTTACGAGCTTCCCTTAAGTTAATTTATTAGGCACAATATTCTCCCAATGGTGCACAAGGTTGTTTAACTTTGCTATCCTGATCAAGTTCAGTAGTTTGTTATCATTGTTTTCCTAATATGTTACTAGTTGAAAAATTGCAGGTTGTAGAGTGTTGTGTCAGGTATAGATTTCCCCCAAAGAAAAATAAATAACCCACCTTGGACCTTTATTTCTTCTTCATTTCTTGGCCCTGACCTGTCTCAACGTGAAATTTGTTTGTACGCTGCTTTACACAGAAAGGGAGATTCCAGATGCTGAACCTTCTGCAACAATAAAGCACAGAATTAGAATGGTGTTTGTTATATACTGCATATCGGTTTACTTTTATTAAAAAATAGAAGCATACAGCAATTCACCATGTTTTCAGAGACATAATAATAATAATAATTCTTGCATTTGATATAGCGCTTTTCACGTCGGGAGGACGTCCCAAAGCGCTTCACAGAACACACTGTAAAGTGAATTGACTGTATATTTGTGGGCGAACGCAGCGGCCAATTGCGCACAGCAATGTCCCCACAAACAGCCGTAGATTGAAAATGACCGATTTATTATTGTTTTTGGGGTTTTGGAGGGATTATTATTAGGCTCTGTGTGGAGTACGGAAACTTGCCCAAGGTTTCGCCCTCTGCCTGGAATTGAACTCAGGTCTCTCACTCGCAAAGCGAGTGCTCTAACCACTGAGCTACAGGACTCCACATGTCCTGAAATGAAGCTGGCCAAAGGTCGGTTGGGTAAACACAATCCATAATCACTGTGCCCCCCCCCTGAATAATGGTAACTAAAGCGTTCACTGGCAACCGAAGACAATCATATTTATTACTGCCAAGCGTCACAATAATAATAAATATTTTTCGAGCACCACCAACAAACATTAGCTCGACTCAATTGGGGCATTCTCGGTCTTGGCAGGTTGGGGGCTCAAGCCCCACGTTCGCGACTCGAGCTCCTCGATCCACTCCTCATCGGTCTCCCCGGACCAAAGCCGCCACCATCACTCAACAACGACGACGACGACGACGACGTCGACGACGACGACAACGGCAGCAAAATTACGCGAGGACGTCCCAAGGCGCCGGACAACTCCATCCCCATCGCTCCAGTCCTTTTGCCAGAGGCGGGCTCCACGACCCCCCCCACCCCCCGGATTTTCCAGGGGGTTAAAAATAACGCGTTCACTTCAACCCACGGCTGTTCGCGCGGGGGGGGTGGGGGTGGACGCCGCGGGGGGGGGGGGGGGGGCGCGCGCGTTCCCCGCCATAAACACGCGGTCACCGCACTTGGCCGCACATCCCGGGCGCAGCGCTTCGAGACGTCTCGAAGGCGTGGTGTCAAATGCAAGGCTTATTATTATTATAAATAAGTCACTCCATTCAGGGCTGGTTGTGGGCCATTTGTAGTGTGGGGGGTGTGTGTGTGTGGGGGGGGGGGGGGGGTTTAATGGCCTGAATAAAGCTTGACAGGAAAACTCTGGGGAGCGCTTTGGAGCCCCAGGGATGAGGCGCGCCGACCAACCGCCAAGACGACGGTCGATTCTTCACCGGGTTAAACACGTCAGAGGCGAAGGAATGAAGCTCTCTCTGGAACGGGCAGGGAAAAATAATAGGAGTTCTCCTCATAGAATTACCGGGGGAGGAGGAAGAGAGGAGGAGGAGGGGGAAGGGATTCGCTTACCTGTCGAGTGGCTCTGAGGTGAGGGAAAGCCGACGGCGGCGGCCGCTTCGGGCCAACGACTTTTTTTTGAAAAAAAACGGTCGCTGCCCAAGGGCTGGTCCCGCCCACCGACCCCGCCTCCGGCCCCGCCCATCGCCCCGCCCCTCGCTCACACGATTGGAGGAGCCTGAGGGCACGTGTCGCCAGCCCCGTCTCTGATTGGTCGCTGGCCCCCTGTCAGTCACCGCCGGGGGTGGGAAGGGGGGGGACCAGTCTCGCGCCACTTCGCCGCTGACACCTTGTGCTCGCGACGCGCCGCCCGGTGGGGGGGGGTTTGCGCGCTTTAACCGTTTGAGGGACCGACTTTGACCCCCATTGCTTTCTTCGTAAGTAATCGTTTACCTTCGGCTCTCCTCACGCAAAGAAAAAAGAAGAGCCCCCTCACCCCCACCCCCACCCCTCTCCTCCTCCTCCTTCCCACCCCCCCACCCCTCACCCGCTTCCTGTGGGGGTGAGGGGTGTGTGTGTGTGTGTGGATGAGGGACTTGAATTGTGCGGTGGAGAGACTCCAGACAAAAATCGGTGGATAGAGACTGGGATTGTCCTCCTCAGACCAGAGAAGGTTGAGTGGGGGGAGATGATGATGATGATGATGATGATAAATAATAATAATAATAATCCTTGCATTTGATATAGGGTTGTACCCGTCTTCGAGACGCCCCGCCCGCAGCGCTCCGTTGCGTGTGTTTTTTTAAGCGGGGCGAAATATTACTTCGACGGAGACTTTTAACGGGAGGTCTTCAAAATTCAAACGAGTGAGGTGGTGGGTTGGGTTGAGGTGGGTTGGGTTGGGTTGGGTTGGCGCGCGGGGTGGGTGGGTGGTGGTGGGGCGGAGGGTTGGTGGATGGAGCGGGCGGGCGTGAGACCGCCAAGTAGCTTTCTCGAAAGGGAATTGGTAGATTGGGTCATTCCGTCCTCCGCAGTTGGCCGCCCCGTTCTGTCCACTTTGCAGCGTGTTCCGGGAAACGCTTTGAAGCGTCGTTAACGACGTGATGAGGCGCGCTACGTTGGATGCAAGGGTTATTCTTATTGTTGTTGTTAATTGGATGGGTGCTTGGAAAGGAAAAATATGCAGGGCTATGGGGTAAGAGTGGGCGAGTGAGACTAGTTGGATAGCTCTTTCAAAGAGTGGGCACATGATGGGCCGAATGCCCCCCCTCCCCCCCGACCCTCTGTGCAATAAGGTCCTAAATTGCTAGAGTTTGTGGTGAGTAAAGGCGTGGGTGGGTGACAGCAACTGAATGAAACCTGCGGATAGAGGTTACTGACTGAAGGAGCATCGTTGACCCGAACGCTTTGGTTCTCCTCCTTACCCACTTGCGCCGTTATGTCGGCCACATCGTAAACCTACCTGCTGAAAGCGCAAATCTGACACTAACTGCAAAAGAGTGGAGTCCTGTAACGTATTGGTTAGGAGATTTATCAGGGACAATACCAGGGATGAGTGGTTAGGTCTATGAGCCGAAACTGGAGGAACTGGAACTTTTTTTCGTAGGAACAAAGAAGATTGAGGAGTGACCTGATCGAGAGCTTTAAAATTATGAGGGATTTTGATAAAGTCAATAAAGAGAAATTAATTCCACTGGTCAGTGAGTCAGTAACTAGAGGGCATGTGGAAGTTAGGACAGAGTGGTTAGAAACAGTAATTGAGGCAAAGTGCCAGGAGCAGTAATTGAGGCAAAATCCATTTTTGCCTCAAGAGGGAACTAGATAGATACCTTAAAAAGAGTCAACTGTATGGGGAAAGGGCTTGTAAATGAAACAGAAAGGATTGCTCTTGAGGGAGCCAGCAACAGACATGATGGGCCAAATTCTGTGGATTGTATAGAATTTAAAGCCATGCAGGGTGTCGTGGGTGTATGGTAAATCGGAAAATGCCTCTTGATGCTTACCAGCGTGGAGCCCTGTAGCTCAGTGGTTAGAGCACTCGCCTTGCAAGCGAGACACCTGGGTTCAATTCCAGGCAGGGCGAAACCTTGGGCAAGTTTCCTTTCTCCACACGCCTAATAATAATTCCTCCAAAACAAAGCAATAATAAATTGGTCATTTTCAATCCACGACTGTTTTTTGTGGGACACTGCAGTGCTCAATTGGCTGCCGCATTTCGCCCACATATTTACGGTCAATTCTCTTTACAGTCTATTCTGTGAAGCGCTTTGAGACGTCGAGAAGATATGAAATGCGCGATATCAAATGCAAGGATTATTATTATTACCAACCCATACAACCTAGTGGCTCTGCCACTAGACCCTGGCACAAAGTAAAGGAGCATAGATTCCCCTGCTCTGCTGTGATTCTTGTGATTCTCATGAGGTCCTGTAGTGTATTGATTAGAGCGCTCGCCTCACAAGCGAGAGGACCCAGGTTCATTTCCCAGGCAGGGCGAAGCCGTAGGCAAGTTTCCTTACTCCACACGCCTCTGCTTGCCTAGCAGTAAGTAAGGAACTTGGTTGTCAGTTGATTGGTCAGTAAATTGAAAGGAGTAAGCTGTTCTCTGCACCAACTGCTAATAACAAGACTTCATTTAAAAAAAAGGCTTTTGACAAGAATGTTTCCTTTATTATTATAATTGAGATTATACTTTGATCCCTTTGATTACGAGATTAAAGCTCTGAAACCAAACTTTCTCGCTTACACTCAGCACATTCACGACATGGTAAGCTTTGGGTCAATCCTGTAGTTGAAAACATAGTTCAAGTAATGCTGATGGGCCTGTGGATGGTCTATGTAATGCATGAAATGCCGACAGAGTGACAATTACGAGTATGTGTTTAAACAAGCTTGACTGTTTGGATGAAATATGTAATTTAGTCACTGATTTTGGCAGTAGACCTGAATCTTTGTTACTACATTCACAGGTGCACAATGAACTTTAAGAATAACAATAACAACAAATTACATTTGTATAGCAGCTTTCGTGTTAGTAGAACGTCTCAAGTTGCTGAAGAATAATAATCCTTGCATTTGACCCACCGTCTTATCATGTCGTTGAGACGTCTCAAAGCGCTTCACAGAATATAATAATAATCATCCTTGCATTTGACATAGCGCTTTTTCACATCTTCTAGATGTCTCAGGGCGCTTCACGACTGTTCATGGGACACTGCTGTGTGCAGTTGGCTGCCACATTTCACCCACAAAACATACAGTCAATTCACTTTATAGTATATCCTGTAAAGTGCTTTGAGACATTTCCCCAGTATGAAAAACGGCATATCGAAAGTAAGGATTATTATCATCACAAATTCCCTTACAGGGCTACGATATGAATGCCATTGACACTCCTTAGTGCTGATACATTTCAAATGCAATTTAGAGCCAATGTAACTTGGCGTCAGAATTTATCATGATCAAATTCTTCACTTTTGTGAGAATATTACAGTAAAACACGTTTAATAATGTTTCCCTTTTCTCTGTTCTACAGCTGGCATTGAGAGTTATGGGTTGTAGTTATGGAATGCACTGAGCTAAGAAAAAAGGACACAATCGCTGAGGCAAAAATGGAGCTCCCGCCTTCAAAATTAATTGAGTAAGTTGTACAGTAAAAAAAACACAAAATAGGATAACTATTATCATTCCACTGGCGTTTGTATTCCATCAAGAAATGTTAAGGTGATAAGATACTGGAGTTAAAATGCAAGGTTTGATGTGCTGATTATCAGATGGTTAGGACAGCTATAATTCTTCACTGTCCACAAGAGGGACACTTTTTCTGCCCATTTGACTTTGACAATAGTGGGTGGTCTTGAAGCCAGCCAAGTGGCAGTTTACAGGATAGCTTGACTCAAATTTATTAAGCTGGACAGCTGTGTTACGGTCAAACCGGAGGAGCTGTATGCAGTACATGATTCTGCTTTTGGTGCTGGAAGTGAAATTATATTGTTTTCGGTAAAGCAATAAAGAGTGAAAAGCCTGATTTATACTTCCCGCTCCTAATTGCTTGGCCAGAGGCTGAGGAACTAAAATGCCGAGCTCAAATATCAGCTCTTATAAGCGTTAGGCAAGATTTCCTACTCCACACATCTCTGTTTACCTAGCAGTAAGAAGGCAGCCAGTTGTTAGTCGATTGGTGGATTTCTTTGCGAGGGGTATTAATCCCTTCAAAAATAAATAAATAATAATTTGGTCACTTAATCTACGACTGCTTGTGGGAGACTGCTGTGCGCAATTGCCTGCCTTGTTTCGCCCACAGAATACAGTCAATTCACTTTACAGTATATTCTGTGAAGCGCTTTGAGTGTCTTGAAGACATGATAAGGCATTATATCAAATGCAAGGATTATTTATTATTATTATGCGCCTGCATATGTACTGCAGCAGAGAGAATCCCCAAAGGAGGTTCAGACTCGGGCTCCAATTCAGATACCAAACCCAGGTTCTGGAATTATTTATGTTTATAAAGGATTCAGTGAAATATATTGCAAGTTTTGCAATGAATTTCACCATCAACAGTACAATACAAACCCAGCAGAATTGAGCACATCACCACTGAAACTCTTATGTCCTACAGTGCAGCGCAGAGAACATGCTGTTCAACATTGTGTTATATTGATTAAAGCATAAAGGCATTCTGTACACTCTCCTTCCAGTGATCATTTTGTAGAATTAAAATGAATTATCAACTCGTTTATATTTGCCTCGTAAGCAAGAGGACCCGGGTTCAATTTCTGGGCGAGGTGAAACCTTAGGCAAGTTTCCACATACAACAACAAAAAAAATTACATTTGCATAGCGCCTTTCATGTTGAGAGGACATCGCAAGGCGCTGCACCTCTTTTTACCCAGCAGTAAGTAAGAACCCGGTTTTTCGGCAATTGGCAGATCGCTTTCCCTCCAAAAAGTAATAATTTGGTCACTCTAGTTTTTCCAGTTTACCTAATTTTGCCTCATAATTCAGTCCCTCCATTGTTACGGAGTTGGGGATCGCACCCACAGGTAGCCTTGTTTTTATAAAAAAGGTTCTATGATATTTTTGTTTGTATTTTAAAAAAATTCTAAATGTTAAAAGAATTATGCAGC